TCCAAAGTACGGGGCTGTAAATTTTTTTTGGCCGAAGATATCGAGTTGTAAAACAACTCAATCTCTTTGTCAAAACGTCAATTTTAATAAATGAATGGGAACGAATCAAAAAATTAATTTGCAACCCCTAAATTTTGACTTTATAAAAGTGCACCTTTTTTCTTTCATAAACAATTAGAATTGCGGCTTCCCTATGCATTATAGAGATTTCTTTTTTAGAAATTCACATATCTGAGATCAAGGTGCATATTTTGAAAAAAAAAAAATTGTGTTTCGACCAATAGGAGCCGAGATAATTTTTTTTTTGTTTAAATCGCCATTGTTGTAATAATGAAAATTAACAAATCGGTCCAAGGGCATTCGATCGTTATTAAGTTATATTTTCTCATTACGATACAAGGCTTTACATATTTTGGCTTTTTAACAATTAAAATGACGTTTCATTTCCAGCACGAGAAAAGCCAAAGGCCGGAGGCGGTGGTGGGGGGTCTCCCTCGCGCGCTTGGAAATACTGAAAGTCCGCGTTCAAATCGACGCGCTTCGCGAAAATCAGGCTTATCTCGCGAACTATTGCATCAAATTCGATCATTTTTTTTTTAATTTGGGGTAGCTTCAAAATTTATTGAGATTGGTGTAGTTGTAATTAGTATATTTAGTGCCAATCGTTTATTATTAACTTAATTGAATTCATACATATCAGTGTATGTATAAATTCCAATTAATTATTACTTGCTATCCGTAAATATGGATAAGGATAAATAATAATCAATATATTTTCAATTATTAATAACAATATTTTAATTTATATGCATACGTAGGCTATAGTTTACATGATTTCTTATTTTCTAATTGTACCTAGTTCTTTTAGGCGCAGACTCATTTATTTCGTTTTCATTGCATTCTTCATTTAACATTACTTCTACAAGACTACTTAAATTATACTCTTCATTGTCAATATCTTTTACATTCGTACAGCAAAATACACACAAGCGAGAACATTTGAGGCCATGTTTGCTGCACAACCTTTTTGGAATATATATATATATATGCTTATTTGCAAATACAATCGTGGCTTGGTAATGATTTAAATCCTATGAAGTATGGGTGGCATAAAGTCGAAAATACTTTGGAACCCACTCATTCTTCAGAGCCAATGATACCTCCCGAAGTATCAGAAAAAATATCTTGTAAATGCCAAAAAGGCTGTAAAGCTGCGTGCAGCTGCCGCAAACATGGCCTCAAATGTTCTCGCTTGTGTGGATTTTGCTACGGGGATAATTGTACGAACGTAGAAGAAATACATGAATATGATAATATTGATAACGAAGAGTATAATTTAAGTAGTCTTTAGAAGTAATGTTAAATGAAGAATGCAATGAAAACGAAATAAATGAGTCTGCGCCGAAAAGAACTAAGTACAATTAGAAAATAAGAAATCATGTAAACTATAGCCTACGTATGCATATAAATTAAAATATTGTTATTAATAATTGAAAATATATTGATTATTATTTATCCTTATCCATATTTACGGATAGCAAGTAATAATTAATTGGAATTTATACATACACTGATATGTATGAATTCAATTAAGTTAATAATAAACGATTGGCACTAAATATACTAATTACAACTACACCAATCTCAATAAATTTTGAAGCTACCCCAAATTAAAAAAAAAATGATCGAATTTGATGCAATAGTTCGCGAGATAAGCCTGATTTTCGCGAAGCGCGTCGATTTGAACGCGGACTTTCAGTATTTCCAAGCGCGCGAGGGAGACCCCCCACCACCGCCTCCGGCCTTTGGCTTTTCTCGTGCTGGAAATGAAACGTCATTTTAATTGTTAAAAAGCCAAAATATGTAAAGCCTTGTATCGTAATGAGAAAATATAACTTAATAACGATCGAATGCCCTTGGACCGATTTGTTAATTTTCATTATTACAACAATGGCGATTTAAACAAAAAAAAAAATTATCTCGGCTCCTATTGGTCGAAACACAATTTTTTTTTTTTCAAAATATGCACCTTGATCTCAGATATGTGAATTTCTAAAAAAGAAATCTCTATAATGCATAGGGAAGCCGCAATTCTAATTGTTTATGAAAGAAAAAAGGTGCACTTTTATAAAGTCAAAATTTAGGGGTTGCAAATTAATTTTTTGATTCGTTCCCATTCATTTATTAAAATTGACGTTTTGACAAAGAGATTGAGTTGTTTTACAACTCGATATCTTCGGCCAAAAAAAATTTACAGCCCCGTACTTTGGACGTCTCTTAATTAACTAATTAGAATATATCAGTAACTAATAAAATTAAATAGTCGTGCGACGATTCATTTTTTTTAGAATCACAAGAGCTTTCTTTTAAGAGTCATAAACATTAAAAAAAGTTCTTTTTGCAATAAATATTCGATATAGTAAAAATGGCCATTTTTAAGGGTTTTTGGGGCTTTTTTCAATAACTAACAAACGAAAAAAATTGCACGACAGCTCAAATTGTAGCTTTTGCTATTGCCTACAACTTTTATACGAAACTTTTTCAGCTAAAATGCATACCGTGGCTTGCAGATTGAAAAAACCATATTTCGTCAACTTTGAACGCTCATAAAAAAAATCTGACAATAAATTAGGAGTTGCATTTTATCAAGAGTTTCTATTTACATTGTACTGAAGCGATTTCCGTTGAGAAAACCCATCCCGGAATTTTTGTCTGAAACAGGCCTTTTTTGCCTCTGTTGCCTGGACTATGTGCGCGCCCGAGAGAAGTGTCTGACGAGAGGGTGGCTCGGCGAGAGACGCGAGAGGTCGAGAAGGCGGAGGCCAGTCGCAACGGAAAAGCCAATGTTGTTCGAATGGAGATTGGAGCGGAGCGGGAGATTAAACAGCAGCGATAGCGAGACGTGCACGCGCGCGGCGAACGACTTTTAAATGGCGAGTCGGCTGCGCGCTAACGAGTCTAGACGACTGCCCGCACGACGGGACCTGCCCGACGTCGATGCACCGACAGCCGAAAGCGAAGCGCAAGGTGCGCGTGGGCGTTACAGAGGCACTTTGCGCGACCGAATCGCTCTCTCCACTCGGCTTTTCGTGCTTTGCGCGCGACTGGCTGCTGCCTCGCGCCCTCTCCCTCTAAATATAGCCAAAGGATTTTGCGGGCAGCCGCCCGCGGGTTTACTGACCAGAAGCGCCTCGCGCGCCGGTGGACAGCTCGGCCCGAGCGAGAGCCGACGGTGCTCGGTCCGTGCTGCGAAGGCGGGTCGATACAAGCCGCGGAGGGGCGCATAAACACGCATCCAGAGAGTGCGCGCGGTCGGGGGGCGGGACTGCACTCACCTTGCCGCTGTCGGCCGCAGGAGAGTTCTCGACGATGTCGTAAATGACGTGGGCTAGGCCGGCGGTACCGAGCAGCGAGAATCCGAAGCCCGTGGAGTCGCTCCGGTTGAGGGTGACCAGTAGCTCCTCGGCCATCTTCCTCCTCGCGGCGCACCAGCCTGCTCCAACCTGCGCTCTTGGCTCTGCTCGGCCGGCGGCGCCGCCGCCGCTCAGCGCGATCCAGCTCGCTCAGAGCTTGCACATCGATCGCGCGCGGCGCTCGAGCGGGGCGCCAGGCCGGGCTCCACCACTGCAGGCCTCATCCAGTTTGGCACGCCAGCACGCACGCACGCACGACGCACAGCTCTCGCGAGGTCTCAAGAAACGCACGCGCGCGCTCTAGCTCGCTCCCTCCCTCCGTCGCCGCGCTGCTCGGCGCTCGCTGTCCGCCCTACTCTCGTTTGGACAAGTTCGTGGGCTGGCCGAGCCGCCGGCGTCGAGACTGAGACCGCGGGGCCCTCACCGAATCAGTGGCGGGGCCTCGAGCGGGCCGCTTCCTGGGAGGCACCACGCCACTCGTTGCCGCTTCGACGCGGCCTCGCCAACGCTGCGTCCGAGCCAACGCTGCGCGCGTTATCTTGTCGCATGGTGGTCGGCCAGACTAAGTAGGTCCTGGCTGCCTACCTACCAGTCTGCTACCTGCCGGGCCCTCGACCACACTCGGTCCACACGCACTCACTCGCGCACACTTGTCCCGCACGCGAGGCAGAATCGTCTTTGTCGTCTTCGATGTCCCAGCCAAAGAACTGCGGCAGACAGCGGCTCCGTCCACGCTGCGCCGATCGCCCGACAATCTGCCGACAACTGTCTGTCTCTCCTCTCGTATCGCGCCTCGCGCGCTTCGGCCATACGACAAAGAAACAGAGAGAAGACTTCGCTCGTGGAAAACGCGTAGTCTTCCGTACGTATACGCTATGCCCGCTCTTTCTCTTCTCTATGCCTATTCTCCACTGTCTCCTCGCAAGCGCCGAGACGCCAGTCCGTACTCTGTACTTTGCGACGTTGCCGAGGAGCGATGGCGCCATCTGCAAGGATTCACGCTCTCTCACTCTCGTAGCGGTCTCAGCCGAAGCCATAAGTCTCTCTCATTCTCGCTCTGTCTCTCTCACAGCACCGGAATTTTTAATTATTTGGTCTACGGTTAATAACTGACTTACGAATAAAAAATTATGCATAAAATCGCAATGATACTAACCAAGGCAAAAAACATTGACTGATCCATTCCAAATTTCAGAATGCGGAATATTTAAAAATGACCAAATTAAAATAAATACCGTCAAACAAATTGGATATATTATATTATTATATATAGCTAACTTTATATATATTTAGTTCATTGCGTAATAATAATTAAATGATAGAATGCCATTTAATCAGTATCTTTTATTTGTTCACTGTTTGAAAATTCTAAGATTTCACCCATTCAATGTTTTTGTCTAGTATCGCTACTACGATTTTTGGATTTTGCATAATATATTTGTATCTTTTTCCAAGTGGCTAAGTAAATTAGTTTCGTTTATGCGGATATATATTCTATTTATATTATTATATCTTTATAGGAGTCCGTAAAATATTGACAGAGTATCATTAAGTTTAAGAAACATTTAGTTATTATTGTATTTTATTTTGATTTTATTTAATTTTCACAATTTGAAAATCCTTTTACACTTTACAAATATTTTATCTAATCCGTGCATCGAGATCTTTATTATAGCATAAATTACGAAAAACATGTTGAACAGTCTTAGAACTTAAAAACTGCAGTGGCATTATAAAAATGTTGATTTATTTAGCAAAAAAATTGTTATTCAATACTTTAAGATAATGCTGCAAGTTTTTTTCGTTTCATTGAACTTTCATAGATACTACTTCCGCCCCCCTCCTTCAGTATTCTTATATTATACCTTACAATAATTCGACAAAATTCTGTCTGAAGTGAAAAGTTTTCGTTCTTCGTCTACTTGACGAAAAGCTGCATAAATAGCAGGTGAAAGTTTGTATATACGCAAAAAGCAAAAGCTGAGTCAGATTGCTTTACTTCGATATCGCGCTATCTAATTGTGGAGATTACTCGTCATAAGTTTAAACGTATAGTATACAAATACATACAATCACGCATCGATATTTGATTTAACTTAGCCGCGCCCATGTTTGATTACCAGTATTCTTATTTTTGTTACCATCAAAAAATATAAAATCACAAAACTCGTCTATTTCAAACATAGTTATTTCAAATGAATGTGATTCAACAATATACAAACTATCGATGAATTCGCACAAGAAAAAGTGAATAAATAAAGAAATATTGTCGATTCCACATTCAATGCGCCGATTACGATCAGCGCAAAGAAATTTATGCAAATCTCAATCACCGCCACCCGCATTATCTCCTTTAAAGGGTATAGATGGCGTTTCGCATTTCGCGGGCAAATTATCACGTATGTATATGCAGCAGCCGGGCAGACGACAAAAATACCATTGCTCGTATATTTATATATCGTTGAAAATGCACATGCTAAACTCTCAGTTGTTAATAAATATTAGTTCTCTCATCATACCTAAACGTAACCAGTCGACGGTCAATGAAACGCGAATGTCGTAACGAATCGAAAAAAAAAATTATGAAACTGTCCATTTATTAACATGAGGTATAAGCGATACGGTAGCGACCTTATATGGCAACGATCATTCCCGTGAGTGAGGAAAGGAGAGGCTCCACAGCCGCGACAGTCGTCCAGGCTCAAGTGCGTCGGCCGCTTGCAGACAACTCCCGCGCGGACGCAGAGAAGAGCTTAGAGCTTGTGATATTTATAAAATATAAGTCATGATTTTGAGGCGTTTGCCAGTTTTTTCAAAGTGATACCGCGCTCTTGCGTTTATGGCCGCTGGATCTTCAAATAAATCGCCTTAAAGTCCGTTTTACAGAGTACAATCAATTTGACCTTGCAGTGTTAGTCTCTACCTTCTTTTTAATCCACACAATCATCATGCCGGGAAAACAATTCAGCTTTTTCTACATAATTGCCTTAGTGCTAAGTCACAAGCATGTATTTACGTTCAACGTCGAGGTGGAGGATTATGCAGTATATCAAGGTGACTCTAATTCGATGTTTGGCTATGCTGTTGCTGAATATCGTGATCAACACGGACGTGGTTGGGTCATAGTTGGTGCACCATTAAATCAAACAAGACAATTAAATATTGATAAAGGTGGTTCAGTGTTTAGATGTGATATTGCAGAAGACAATAGGTGTTTTCCCATTGAATTTGACAAGAAGGGTGTGGACTATGTAAGATCCCACAAATATGCCAGTGGTATAGAGCCCATAGATGAAAAGTCAGGTCAATGGTTTGGAGCAACAATTGCAGCGTCAACTGAAGCTGGAGGCCCATTATTGGCATGTGCTCCAAAATATCATTGGTTTGGCTACATTAAGGCTAACTGGACAGTTGCTGGTTTCAAGGATGTTGTAGGTGCATGCTGGCTTACCACTTTGGGAAATGACGTATCTACTGAATATTCGCCATGTCGTAACAATGAAACTGCAGGCCATCATCGTCAAGGTATGTGTCAAGCAGGTTCAGCTGCTGCCATTACCAAAGATGGCAAGAGGTTATTTATTGGAGCACCAGGAAGTTGGTATTGGCAAGGTCAGTTATTTACAGTAGAGAGCAACGTAACTTTACCTTTCACACCTGCTGGTAGTGGACGTACTCCTTATGAGCAACCTCGCTTACTGGCAACAAAAGAAGGCCCTGCTTACGAAGATAATAGCTATCTTGGTTACTCTGTGGCAGTGGGAGATTTTCTTGGCAATAAAGACAGTGGTGTTGCTGTTGGCGTACCTCGTGGAGCAGATCTTAATGGAAAAGTTTTGATGTTCTCTTCCCAATTGTACAATCACCAAAATATCACTGGTGAACAGATGGGTTCATATTTTGGCTATGCATTAGCTGTTGCTGATATTGATGCTGATGGTTTGGACGATATTATTATCTCTGCTCCTTTTTACACTCCACCAGATTTAGCTGGAGTGAAAATAGAAACTGGAAGAATATATGTTTTCTATCAAAAAGCTGATCCAATCAAGTTCTCAAAATTCCATACTAGAGATGGTCAAAGCAATAGAGGACAATTTGGTCTGTCACTTGCCTCTTTAGGTGACATTGATGCAGATGGATTTGGTGATTTTGTCGTTGGTGAGCCTTATGGAGGAGATGAGAATCGTGGTGCTGTCTACATTTATCGAGGATCTCCAGAAGGTGTTGAAGAAAAATACTCTCAAGTAATATACTCAGAAAATTTGGAGCAACCAGTACGTACGTTTGGTTGGTCTGTCGCTGGAGGACTAGATTTAGACAGAAATGAGTACACTGATCTTGTTGTTGGCGCTTATGAGTCGAATGCAGCTTTTTATTTCCGTGCCAGGCCTGTTATTGAGATGACAGCTGCTTTGGTATTTTCTCGAAATTTGATCTCATTGACTACGCATAATTGCCTTCTGTCCGACGGTTTTCCAGCAGCTTGCGCTGATTTTAAGGTTTGTTACATGTATGTGGGCAAAGGTGCATGGCCAAGACACGAATTTAACGTAACGATCACATTGGATGCCAAGAAGAAGAAAAGTCCACGCATGTTCTTTCTTGATTATGAGACTACGAGCGTGTTGACTTATCCAGTTACGTTGTCGTCTGGTCTGCAAAATTGTCGACAATTCCGAGCCTATCTTGCAAAACAAGTGCGTGACAAATTGACACCATTGGAAGCTGAAATGCACATCGAATTGCAGAATAATTCCACGAGGGCTGCAAATCATTGGAAAACTCGTAGTCCAAAAAGTAAATTGCAAGCGGTGTTAAGCCCGAAAAATACAAAGCAAACGGGTTCCCTCAACATTCAGAAAAATTGTGGGCCAGATAATATTTGCATACCAGATCTGTCGGTGAGAATCAAAAGACATCCTGGCGAGTACGTACTAAATTCAGGACACGCTCTCGATTTGGACGTGAACATTCAAAATAACGGTGAGGATGCCTTTGAAGCTTCTTATTATTTATTCTTACCCAAAGGTATAGATTACGTCAACGTTGAAAATTCAAACTACTCCAAGGAATTGATTGTACAATGTACGGCTCCAAAAGACAGTAATAACAATACTTTACGTTGTGACATCGGCAATCCACTGCCAGCAAATAAAAATCTCGATTTTAAAATTCGCCTTCAGCCAGTTTTATTCCACGGCATGAAGCCGAACTTCGAACTGAACATGAAAGTCAATTCATCCAACAACGAGCGGCCTAATAGCATTATGGATAATATTTACAGAATCAATGTGCCTGTGCGTGTCAACACCGTTTTGAAATTGTACGGTGAAAGTAAGCCTAAGGAAATTGATTTCAACTGGGCCAAGTATGTAAATACTGACTTTTCCAAATTGAATAATTTAGAGAAGAGTCCACTCGTTATGCATAATTACACGATTCGCAACAGTGGACCGTCCGCTATTTTGCGTACTGCTGTCAATCTTACTTGGTCAGCCGAGACGTTAGCAGGCGACATTTTGCTTTATTTGTTCGAGCAGCCAGAAGTCACAGAAGGCAAAGTTGTATGTGATTCAGCTAATGCAGACTTTTTGAGTATTAAGCAGAAGCTGAAAGACCGTCTTCTTTCGCCGCAAGAATTCAATAGTAACGACAAATTGCGCAACAAAAGGCAAGCATATAGTCGTGAAAGCTCGCATAGTCCATTTTGCGAAGGTACGAGGTGTGTCCATTTGACATGTAAAGTCGGACAGTTGCAGCAGAACGAAGAAGTATTCATTGCTATGAAGTTCTTGGTCAACATGACGACCTTGTCGAATATAACTAAAGAGAGACTGCAGCTTTCCTCATTTATGAATGCAACGGTCACTTCACAGCCGTTTATCGGCGAGCCGATAGAAAAAGTCCGAGAATCTGTTGAAATTGGCACTACAGTTCAACCTTTGATTCCACCACCAAAGCCTGACGTCATTGATCTTTGGATAGTTATACTGGCTGCCTGTGCTGGAATGGCTATTTTGTTACTTCTGATGTTTTTGCTGTATAAGTGTGGCTTCTTCAAGAGGAATCGACCTACACCTGTACATCACGACAAACAACCACTTAGTTCAAGGCCATTTTTGAGAGAAGAATACTGAAAAGGATGTGAATCTTAAACGTTGACAGAATACTCATTGAACTATTTTAGAGGTGCCTTTAATCCGAACTAACGAAGATAAGCGTCTGACTTCGTTACTCGAATGAATCGTTACTCTGAGAAAATTTGTTTTACTTAGATATTTTCGATAACACTAAACGATTTCTTCTCAGAATTTCACGTAGACAACACCGAAAAGGGTACAATTTCTAGAATGTACCACGGTTGTTTTTTAGAATTTTTATGGAGAACTTTAGAGTCTCGAAATATAGAGTAATCGATTATTAATCAATTTGCAATTCTTACCTTAGTGTATTCTTAATACCAAAAATTATTAATTCAATATCGACTAGAATTTTATGACACAAAGTATTTGAGTTGAATTTATGATGTATTAACTTATTGATAAATTTTATAAGAAATAAATTTTTTATTGTTATTTAACTAAAATAATTCGAAGTTAAAATTATTTGTAACACAGAATCTCTTAATATACTTAATTATTCATATATATATATATGTGTGCGTGTGGGTGTGTGTGTTGTATAAGACTTATGTAAAATATTAACGTTAAATAAAATTGTTTAATAAGATATTTGAATTATTTTCAATTTGATCATTGGACCCACATGATTTATTTATTTAATTTGAAAAATTTTTTTTAAGTTTTTGTATATATGTATCGATACTAGTGTGAAAGTTGTGAAAAGAAAAAATTAAATTTTATTGAGTATTGGTTGACTTTTTTTAAATATAATTTTTATATCCATGCTTTTTTTATCCTTCAATTTAAGTTATTATATATATTTCATTAAATTTAAAGACAAATCAGTAAAAATAAACTGGTACGTTCAAAAGTGAAATTTAAATTCTGTAAGTAAATCGAAAAGGAAAATATAACATATAGCATTCTTTTCACTTAGGCACGAATTTTTAAGTTTCAATTAAGTTTGTGTTTCAAGAAAAAAAAGAATATTTATGAATTTTAGAATGGAAAAACCATTTAGTTCGTGTTGATGTTTATACATTTTAGCTTTGATTATTTTTTTGTTCCAAGGAAAAAAATCATTGTTACGATTAATTAGTGGAGATCAGGCATAAAAATATCTGTCTAGATGTATGTACTACACTACCTGCGGACTTTCATTTGCAAACCGTAAAGTTCAAAATCTAAATTGTTTTCGAGGGTTGAGTATCGATGAAATCAATATTTTTTCTAGTAAGTTGCGGGGGCACAATTTGCTAAAATGAATTATTAACGTAACTTCGTGTGGTATTATCACGATGCTCGATGATCAAAAATAATTTGGATTTTGAACTTCGCGGTTCGCGAATTTATTTCCGGGAAAATAGCACAGTATGGCGTAGCGATGTATATAGATATACATCCATATTCGCATATTCGTTCACATTATTAATACCACTGATTTATTAATACCACTCGCGTCGTTGAGACACTATTCGCGCAGTTTGCAAACTTGTTCGAACTTTTCACATCAATTTTATATTATGACAAACGCGATAATCATTTTACTCATCAGAAACTTTTTACTTCGCGTATCCTCATCCTATAAACTAGATTTACATCCTTATAAATTTGTACTCGCTTTAAATGGAACAACGTCTCGTGTATTTTTAGAGTAGAAATTGTATTTTTTCACAAAATAAATTTAGTTTTTGATGAGGTATAAAGAATATTTATTTTTACAATATTACTTGTGTCTCAAGATTCGCGTACTACAAAGTAAGTATAATTTTTTTTTCAAATTTATCGTTATATTTGCATGTATTGTTAAAATTACTGTGAATAATAATTACTGTTCGAGTTACTGTTCTTCTGATCGGTGATTCTTAATTTACTTAAAGAAATTTTCATTTATTTAATATTTACAAAGCCATATTATTTTCAGAAAAATATATTATTTGTATTTCAGTCAAGTTGTGCGCTTGACTTTGGAGTCACTAACAATCGCGGTAGTAAATATGGAACCCGTTGCACACCTCGTAAAAGTATCTGTCCCGAATTATTTAAGTAATTTGCCTATTCCCGATACAATCGGAGGATGGTTTCGACTAGGAGGTAAATATGTTGTATTCTAAAATGCATGAACATGAATTTCCATGTCTGTCATGTTTCCAGTAATTACAAAAGTTGTGTCGTAAAATTGTTCGATTTCTATATAAATATCCATCACAAATTTGAGAACACTGTACAGATGATTTATTTTACTTTTCAGTGAAAGACTGGCTTGCTCTAATTCCACCTTCAGCCGCTCTTGCCGGACTTGGATACATGTCCTACAAGGCTTTTTGCCCAAAAGCTAGAGCTGCAGTAAGTGATGGCCACTTGCTTATTTGCAATAATAAAAATCGTATTTTTTTCCATTCCATGTAGATTTGAAGATGTATAATACAGTGTGCAAAATACTATCAAGTCTCATCTTACCTAATCATTTATTTGCTTTGTCATGTCTTAGAATTCATAAAGTCAATAAATATGTATTTCAATGAACATCATATAATTAAGTAATTATTGATTACAGTCTTCTGGAAAAATCAATCATAAAATTCAGAAAAATGTGAGTAAAGTTGTTAATTCTGTAGATATTGAAGATATTACAGAAAAAGCAGCTTTCTGTCGCTGTTGGAGAAGTGAAAATGTAAGTTTTTGATGTACAATATTTTTTTTATAAAAAATGTTGAGCTTTTTGATAAACTAATATTTGAATATAGAAAGTTTGTCATGATTAGAAGTGATTAAAATTTTGACATTTTATCACTGAGAAAATAAAAAATACAGAAAGCACAAATAAGACAAAAATCATAATCAATTCAATTAGAATTTTGTTGTAAGATTATTCAAAAATTTAAGACATTAAATAAATAATTTTTTTTCAGTGGCCTTACTGTGATGGTTCTCATGGTCGTCACAACACCGAATGCAATGATAACGTAGGCCCCCTTCTTATCAACAAAAAAAATTAAATGTTAAATAATGTATAATAATTATATCATTGTTGCATCTGAATTTATCAGAAGGTTACCTAACATTTATTGTTTAATAAGATATGATTTTATTATAAAAATTAAAAGCTAAATTATAATAGAAATCCATTGTCATATGTTATTTAATTTTTTTTCATTCAGCTTAATTGACTTGCCGAAGAGGTATTTTTTCAAATTCAAGTTTCATACAACTTCATTTTGGCAACTGCATATAGACTCTTGAAAATGAAAAACATGTACATAGTCGTTATTTGTTACAATTTTTTGGCATATGTGACATCTTCGGCGATCTGTTGCATTTGGATAAGTAGGATTAGTTAAAAATTACAAATATCTTGTTGAAACGTTAAATGCTCTAATTCTTGTAAACACATAATTAGAATAAATAGCGCTAGGAATAACGTCAATTAGTTCTACGATCTGTTGCGTAAAAACGTTTTATGTCTAAAAATATTTGAATCTGTTATGATATACGGTGTATATAAAATAATCTTACTTTAACTTAATATTAATACTTATGACGTTGTTCGAAAACTGATCAATCTAAATATTTGCATTGTCGCGTACAGCGTGTTTGATCGCGTAAAAGCCATTCACCTTTAGCGCGAAATCTCATTTGGCGTGGAAAAATTAAGGTTTCTCTTAAGAACAGACTGCAAGTAAGTCCCCGAGACGCATGCGATGCACACGCCCGAAGAATTCCGGTAGTCGCCGGCGGTGTAGTACGATATAATCATATCTAATATCACAAAGTAATCAGTTTTGCTGGGCTTCTTAATGCTCGAGATGCTCGGAGCGAATGCACGCGTCAGTGTACGTGTTCGATCAAAGCTGAAAAATAGTCGTAGAAAGTGAGCGCTATAGAGCAATTAAATGGCAATCATTTGATATTCTTAAGATGTTTACCTCGAAGTGACGCAGATCATTAGTGTCGAATTCAAGGTCATTGACTAGCAATTCTCGATTTCCATATCGATATCTGAAAAGAAAGCGATGGTTATGCCTGACAATTGTCGACAAAGCACTGTGGGAAAGAAGGGGATGGCATTTGGTGGACTCACTCGAGGTAACGCCTCCAAAGCAGCAGTCCAGCGTAAACAATGACGACGGCTATGGCAAAGGCTATGGCCATGACCAGCGCGATGAACCCCGAGGACATTCCAGCGTCCGGCTTGTCCGCCGCCATCGCCGACTGCACAACTTTCTCCGGGGTGCTCCTCATCGTCTGTGTCGTCGTTTCCACGCCTTTTGTCATCTCCGAAGTAGCAGCGTAGGTCGTCATCGTCGTCGTCATCGTCGTCGTCGTCGTCGTCGTTGTCGAAATTTTCGTCGTTGTCGCAAACGGTTCGGGCGATTCGCTCTTGTCTGTTACCAGCACGGTTGTCGTATCTGGAAAAGACGATCATCGTTGAAAGCTCCGGTCGATCTGCAACGCGGACAATCGTGGACCACGAATGGGACACACACCTTCGGCGATGGGCTCGGTACTCTCCGTGGAACTCGTAGCGGTCGCTGCCGTCGAAGTCGCTAATGCATCACTCGCAGGCGTGTTGGATGGCTGCTCGATCAATGGGCCCGCTAGAGCGAGAGAGAAAGCAAACGATAAGGGACCCGTGACTCGACCCATTGAGATATCAACGAACGAGAGGCGTGAAATCGACGTGGAAACCTGGCTTTGAAGCGTCGGCGATCGGCGCGTGCTCAGTGCTGTCGCTGAGGCTCGGCTCGGCGGGCGCTCGCTCACTCTCTATGATCTTGATTTCGGTTTGGTCAGCCAGTCCATGAGCCAACAGGCTGGCTGCAACGAGGCGACACGCGCACAGTCAACGGATATTCGAATACGAGAGAGGCTCGCGCGATAATTACCAAGGGCCACGAGGACGAGGGCCGTGGACTGCATGATGTTGCGGGCGGGTGAGCTTCGCTAGGATGTGGCGTCCAGGTGACAGATCGTGGATCGACTGGCTGCGGCGAGCGGCAGTGCGCGCTCTATCGCTGCGGCTATCAGCTTGCTATCGGGGCTTCGAGCTCCTGAGCTACAGATAAGACAGCATTCGACACCTATTCGTGCGCTCGTGCCCATCGTGTCGCCTACTAATCGGATTCTCCTGTGAAAAGTATGCACTCTATGCCGCGGAGTGCCTGCGACTCCCGCCGCTGAAGCTGCGCTTGCAGTCGAAGTATCACGTGCCAATTGGAGTCGATCGAGTACCTCGCGCGAGCTTCAGCAGCTATCCGCTTCCAGTAGTCGATAAAGGCAAATTCAATAACGTTGCGAGCGGTCGTCTTGTAATTAGATTTACGCAGTGCGGCCACGTGACAAAGCTGTTCGCGTTGACACAACGCGCCTTGGCCAAGTGAACTCTGCCGGCGCGCGCGCGGCTGTCTACTCGCTGTCGGCTGCTGTTGGCGCGACCTGCCTGTGCGTGCTCCGCCGCGCACCTTCATATGCTTACATAACGCTGGAAATCCGCGAGAATTTATCGGCCGATTTGCATAGGAACTCGTCTGAACTACTTACAAGCGAGCCGCGACCGCATCGATAAAACACTTAGCTACGAGCCGATTGTCGCGCGCGATCGCGCTTCGGAAGTGGCTCCTCGAGTGCTCGTAAATCCGATACAGGCTCCGATTCGAACGGCATTTAAATCGCGCATCTCCGCGGCCCCTGCCTCGTACAACGGCTTCGTCGCGCCATGTTTCGCCTCGCGTTTTTATCTGCCTTGTTTGCTCATCCTGTCAAACTCGACCTACGTGTACAGCTACTCCACATAATCTATCCTGAGGCTGCCTGCCCGTTCATCGATGTGTTATTTTGTCAATCAGTCGACATCGGAAACCGCGCTACTCGCTGCTTTTCTCCTTTGCATTTGTCCTTGCGGGCCAATAGCTAGCTAACGGCTAACAATTTACTTCGGCCATATCATGAGGATTTATTTTCCGATTGCTGACTACTGCCTCCGGAATATCGTCATCAATATAAACTCGAGCGCCAAGGCAAATAAATATTTACTTAGCGATATATTAGTCGGCTCGACGGAGTTTGTGGCGCGATGCAGGATCACGTGACCCACTAAAAAAATCGGCCTTTCTTGCTCTCAAAAGATATCGTCGACGGCCCGCGATACACCGATGCGATATCTTTTACAAAAATACCAATTCTCATTCCATTCTACGATTACGCAGATATGCGTAATATTTATAACTGGAAATTTGCGTGGAAGCCTTTAAAAAAAGAAAAAAGGAAAAGTCACCACTGCCCTTGACGATAGTTGTCCTCGCGTTTTTAGTTGTTTCAAGGCGACCATTCGATGAGCACGCTTATACAGATAAAAGCGGTTTTAATCGATAGTACTTGTCAGCTCAAATTTAATTGATATGTGTGCCCAAGGTACTTGGAACAATGACAAGTAGCGCACATACTCACGACTGACACTTGCCTGAGGTAATTGATAATAAGACCGCGAAGATGCCGACCAGGCGATTCAACAGAGTACAATACAGGTAGTGTTGCGGTCAGCCAGCACAGCTTGGACGCGAAGAAAATGTTGTCATACTACATCGGCAGAGGTGCGACTGGGGCTGAGTTACGAGCGCCGAGTGTGACCAGATAGCTAGTCGGCTTGATTTAGGCGTCGATCGCGGCGGGTCGATGCTGACTGACATAGGCCTCGCTCGCGCGCACTTCACCTCCTGCTTGCCCCACACTCGCTGTGCCGCCGCTGCGAACATCGTCTTACCTGTCAATCTTTACTGAGTAAATGAATTCTCGTTTCGCGGCGACAGCGTAATACCCGCTCGCCAATCCACGTTCAAGTGCAAATCAGATGGAAAATTGATATACTCGGGCGGAATTGAAATGAAATGTCATTATTAACTAAAATCACGTTTTATTAACAAACTAATGTAGTAATATAAAAGTGATCATAGCAAGCCATTACACAATGTCTACCTCTCTGACTGCGTGTATCGTGTGTATCTTTATTCGCTTCGTTTTCAACTATGCGGTGAAAAAATATCAGCAAATGTGATTTGCTTAACAAATTATCTTCATTTTGACTCGTCAATCAAATCATGACTAAATCAATATTCAGTATAATTTTGTGCTAATTACATTACAACATACTTTCTACAGTAAATTTATCAAAATAAATCATAGGTTAATACTAACGCCGTATGTACAATTACATTAATATCTAGATAAAGTCTTATAAATAAAAATCTTTCAACTCAATTACATCATTATCTTATTCAAAATTATTATTTAATTATTGCTCGCATACATAAAACCTATTATAAATAAAATGAGAAAACTCGCGTTTTTGAAATTCAAAAGTATTCTTCATAATTTCTGCAGCACTATTGCAATAAAATTCTGCCCATAGAAAAGATTAATGTATATTATTTGTGTTTTCACAGTGCGCAATATTAGCTATTAATTGAATATTGCACTATATTATTATTTGACTAGCAAAAAAAAATTCTGAACATTAATCATCTTTTTCGACTCTCATCAAATTTTTCGTTTCATTACTGTTAACATTTACCGTATTTTCATGCAACATCGCATTCGGAATATTCATCCTGTTTTTACACTGTCACACAATGTCAAACAAAGAACACGATCATTTACTCCAAAGGCACGACAAAGTTCTGTAAAAACAGCTACACAAAATGATTACAGTGATTTTGTTCAATGGAATATTAGTTGAAGAATGTTCTACTTCTATTATAAATAATACATATATGACGCGTTGAAATATTCGTTTTACGATTCTATACTCAAATAAAAATATTTATCAATTTCTTTTTATTTATATGTTTTGAGCTACCACGTTTTAAATACCTTTGAAGATTGAAGCGATCTATATGAAAACTAAAGTGTTCAAATTTATTATTGTACTTTAAATATACTATTTGCCAAATTTCTGTAATTTATCTAATATATTACAAAGAAAAATAGCGTGAGCTTTGATTTCAGATTTGTATTAAATATATAGAAACAATGCTAACGGTAGTCACTTTTCTCTTTTCTTATAATTTGAATTCTTTAGCTTTTGGAATAATTGAATTTCATTAAAAAATGTAATTTTATCACAAACTTTAAAATCGGAAAAGGTTGTTAAATTTCTTTAACAGTAGTACCGTATCATTTTTTCCGTAAATCAACTGCTTCGATAGACGCTCTAGAATCCAACCGGAAATGCTTGGCTGTCTGTAGAACACAAAGAAACGTATTAGTGAACTATTGTACCATAGAAAATACAAATAAAACCTACTGTAAATAGTGGAGAATCACTTGGGTGAGGATGAAAGCCACTCTCTCTGCAATTTGCTATGTAATTCAAACCAAAATCAGGTGTTAAATGAAAGAATCCCGTTCTATAAAAATTAAGACTTATTAATAACTAGCCTACTAAGTTTGTTTATCAAAATGCTTTTCGCTTACTCATCATATTTTGGAGCACAGACAATAGCAATTGCTTCAGCCATCATGAGTTGATAGGCACAATGAGTATGAAGATCAACACTTGATAAAAAAGCAGTTTGAGTAGGATGTGTCTGGAAAAGAAATATTGATTACTTTATATTATACAACATTATGATTAACACAAGGAAAAGATTAACGAAATTTACATGAATCCATCCTAAAGTTATTAAATTATGTTCATCTTGGAAGTCAAAAATATCTTTTTCATTATGGGTAATGCATGAGTCAGGTGATCCAGTTTGTTTTGGTATTAAAAAATGAGTTACTAACAATCTATTTCTTTCTAATTTTCCTGCTAATATACCACAAGTTTCAATATTATTAGAGGTATTACTAGAAGCTAACTTTAAAAAGTTTTGCATCAATCGACTAGGTATGATAATGTCTCTCAACCTATCACTTGAAGTTAATGAAGTTGGTTTTGTAGACCGATCAACAGATGGAACTTTTCTAAGTGAAAAAAAGATTGATATTATTAATGAAAATATATCTTTTCAATTCTAATTAAGAATAAAAGTTGCATACCTATCCTTAGAAGATTGAGCTTGGTCATCTATGTGAGATGTGATGTACGTTTTATTAGGAGCGAAAACTTGTCTTTTTAATTCATCTGCTGATGTCAGAGCAGCAGCAATACCTATAGAACTGGTTTTTGATGCAGTCGCAAGTATTTGATTTTTCATTTCCTCTTCTTCCTTTAATCTTTGTCAATAAAAAACATGTATTAAAATATTTGCCAACTCTCAATTGTTTTACAAGATGGTATTACAAGGTACCTCTGTTTCTCTTCCAATTTTAATCTTTCAGCTTCTACTTTTTCCTGTTCTTCAATTTCCTGTTTATGTAATTCATACTCATGTTTAAACTGTTCCAGCAACTTTTTTTTGAGAGCTTCAGTCTTAGGTAATATTACTCTTAAAGTATTTTTGATGTATTCCTTGTCAAGAGGTGGAATGCTATTGTATTCTGGGTGAGTTTTCAATTTTTCTATAAATATCCTGCAATATAATAAATATTAATTAAAATGCTCAAGACCGGATTGATTTTTTCAAAGAAATAATACTTACGTCATGCACCGTATGTACAACACAAATCCTTTCTCAAGATCTCCTTCATTCAAGTATACATCAGCTTGTCTAATTATTTCTTTTCCAGATCGATAATATCTAAACAAATATCGTATTTCATGATGAAATCTTAAAAATTTTTCAAATATCTAGAAGAAAATTCATATCATGAAGTCTACCTTAAAACTGAATTGTTCAATTCAAATTTAAAATTTATTCCATTATCATAACAACGTTTCAGTCGCTCTTCTGGTGGCAGCAATTTAACATCATTTTGTAAAGCTTGCCGATTAGTTTTTGTTTCCATTTTGTTTTTCAAAGTTTAATAAGCGTTCTGGTAATATAACGTGAAAAAAGTAATCATAAATGAAACAAACTATTGTCTCGAATTTAATTACTCGAATAACAAAAACTCATAGCCCAAGAAGGTTACAATTTACACTCTAAATTCCTTTACAAGAAACGAAAACGATATCAATGCTGAGATAACTTACAATATATGTACTTATATATACGACTCCTAAATAACTATAAGTTGAACGATTAAGGGATTACCATATAATAAAACTATATAGAAATAGGAATGAAGAATACTCTGAATAATGAATTATTATGCTGTCCATTCTGAAATAACACAATGAGTTTTCAACGTTGCGATAAATACTAATATTTATATATCCATTTATGAGATCATACTCTTATTTAAGTATAAATAAATTCTTGATTTGTTAATTAACAATACTACTTCAAAACCATTGTTTCCGATTCTGAGGTTCGTACTGAACTATAAGTGACAAGGGCCTTAGGTTGTATCAGCTGTTTTATACATGCTTGATACATTCGCGACACCGCAAATTTGGTCAGAGGTTATTTAAAAATTTTTATAACGTTGATTGTAAAATAAATCGTTAAAAATTTTAGACAACTTATTTAACAAAGTACAGTATGAGTAAAACAGAAAACAATGCATCATCCAGTGAACATTTAGAAAAGAGAGCAAAAGTCGAGGAAAAAACTAAAAAGGAAAACTATGTTAAAAATAAGAATGCTTCGATATTGAACCCCTTACTAATTAATCCAAAACAAGTATTTAATTGTTAAATAGAAACAAATAATAATAATAAAAATACACGATCTGCACCCGTTAATTCGATATTTGTCAATTTTATTTTTAGAGAGGAAATCCCCTTATAAAACATATTACAAGTGTACCATATGAGTATTCAGAAATTGTTCCTGACTATGTTACAAATCAAACTTCATGCATATTATTTTTATCTCTTCGGTATCATCAACTTAATCCCGATTACATACATGAACGACTAAAAACTTTAGGTTCATCTTATAATTTAAGAGTACTTTTAGTACAGGTATGTATGATCTGAAGTGTAACTTAGTTTTATATAATCATAATTGTCAACTTTACGAAAAGGTTGATATAGCTGATCCACACCATTCATTAAAACACTTGACAAGAATTAGCATACTAGCTGATTTAACGTTAATGTTAGCATGGAGTGCAGAAGATGCTGGAAAAATCATTGAAACTTATAAAATTTATGAAATGAAACCTCCTGATATGATCATGGAACGAAGTGATACAGCACCACATCAAAAAGTAATTGAATGATTTTATTTATACATAAAACAGAAGTTTTTTTTAATACTTATGTTTTATACTTTTCAGATACAAAGTGCTTTAACTTCAGTGAGAGCCGTTAATAAAACTGATGCATTGACGCTTCTGTCTACATTTGGAACATTAAAGGATATTATAAAAGCTCCGGCAGGAGCTTTAGCTTTATGTCCAGGATTTGGAACTCATAAAGCTCAGCGATTATACAAAACTTTGCATGAACCATTTTTACGCACAGATACAAAAATCAACATAAAAAAATGATTCTTTCTCTATTGTTTTTAATTAAATTTTTTACTATAAATGCCATATAAGATAAAGCATTGTTTCTTTTATTTATTTGTCAAATAACATTGAATTATTATTTTTTATTTCGTTATATTATAAGCTTATATGTCGATGAAAATTTATTGTAGGTATGGTATTTACAAAAAACAAATTATTTATATTATATATTATGAATATGAATAACTGGCGTATACTACGTTTTGTGCAAGATGACTCTGACGATTACGGTCATTACAGACGTATTATATGTATTGTACATTACCTTCCCCACCACTTATGTCGATTAAGACTTTTCACAAATGGCGCGAATTTGTTTTGAAGATTCGACAATAGAGCGGTATGTGCCTCTGTCATTTATTTCTTGAATGAATATTTCTAAAGTTCTATGTAATTCGTTTAAAATCAACATATAAATAAATTCTTTAGATTTTATTTTTAAAATCAATTTAACTATAATGTCAAAAGAATGTAGGAAATCTGCACGAATACAACAGCAAGTACAATGTTTGGAAATTGCAGGTTAGTTTTTTAATAATTGAAAAAAAGAATAATTGCCCAAAAAAAATTATTTATAGTATATAATATACTCCTTATATAAGAAGTTTAAACTCAGTAGGATTCTATTATGTTTATATGCATGTATATGGAGAATAATTGTATCATATTATTCTAAATAATACAAATGAAAACAATTACATTATTTTAATAATTTTAATATTAATTTTTTTTAACTATAGCTGCAACAAAAAAAGTGAAAAAGAACGAGAAACCGTCTCCAAATTGTTTTGATTTTATAAATAATGATTTTCAAAAAGAATTGAATCAAATAGAAGCATCAAATGAAAGAGCAACAGGTTGTAAATTTAATTATTCAGTGTAATATAGTTAAATTAACTCTAATTTGTTGGCAAAATAACTTGTTACAGAATTATTTGATGATCATGATATTGAAGGTAATAAAATATATCGAATGCAAGGCACTCCAGTGAAAAAAAATGCAATGATTGAAAAAGCGAAACAATATAGAGATTCACTTCAAATAATAAGTGTGCATAATCAATTGTCAAAAAATCTTGAAAATACTGATGGTGAATATAAAAAACAAAATTTTTATGAAAAATTATGCATTTTCTAAAATAACTTATTAAAGTTTGTATTCAAAATTAAAGAAAAAAAACAGCAGAAACATGTAAGTAATTTGTCAAACGAAACTGATAGTGATGAAGAATTATATTCTGGTTCAAATAAAAATCATAAAAACAATAGAAGCAAAGTAATAAGTAAAAATGAAAAGGCAAAACAATGTAAACAGACCCTCCAAATAGAAGAGTCAGTAATGCCAGTTGGTCGAATGACTAGGTCAAAAGCTAGAGAATATGTAAGTTGTAAAAATTATTTCTGTTATTTGAATGTTTTGTCTATGATTTAATATTAATTTTGAAAAAAAGCTCATGGAGCCAGATGATTACTTTGCTAGTCAATCAGTAAAATCCCTTACATCTAATAATACTTTGAGCAGATTGAAAAATAAGCAATTAGATGAAACAACATTACAAGAATTACTGCTATCGACTAATTATATTCCTAAAAAGCATCAAGAAGCTTTTAAGGAAATGAAAAATAATTTTGAAAAAAAATACATTGAATGGCTTCATACCATGGAGTAAGAATTAATTAATAATAAGTCTTATAATTATCTATAAAAGAATCAATTATTATTGAAAATTGGAACTATAAATTTTTATATTTACAGAGAAGGTTTTACTGTACTATTGCATGGAGTTGGTTCAAAAAGAACATTGATAAACAATTTTTATAAAAAAATGATTCCTGATGAACCAACATTGATTATAAACGGCTTTTTTCCTAGTTTAACTATCAAAGATGTAAGTATCTTGATGTTGATAATAGAAGAGAATATTTAGATTGAAATAAAACAAGTATTTAATGTATATTTTAGATTCTAGATAATATTATGACTGAGTTACTAGGATTAGAACAAGTGCCAAATCAAAATGAATGTTTTGAGATTATTGAAAAAATCATGAAAACTTATCCAGATGACAGAATGTACTTACTGATACATAATTTAGATGGTGGAATGCTGCGTACAAATAAAGCTCAAGATGTTTTATCTCGTTTGGCAAATATACCAAATATTCATATGTTGGCTTCAGTGGACCATATCAATGCCCCTTTGAGTAAGCTTTCTTTTTTCAGATAATGTAAGATATAGCTCTGTTTAAATTTAACAAAAATTATTTTTAAGTTTGGGACAATGTCAAAAGAGCAAGATATAACTTTTATTGGGTAGATGCTACGACTTTTCTACCTTATGAAGCTGAAACATCATATGAGAGTTCTTTACTTGTTCAAAAAAGTGGAGCTTTGGCATTACTCTCTTTACAAAATGTATTTGCTTCATTGACTTCAAATGCTAAATCCATTTATAAACTTTTAGTTGAATATCAACTAAAAAATGGAGGGACTAATTACACTGGTAAGTGGGACTAATTATACTGATAAATATACATTTTTAAAATAAATATTTGTTAAAGCTCAAAATTTACTGAATTGACTTTTAGGTATGTCATTCAAAGATTTGTACAAAGAATCACGAGAACATTTTCTTGTAAGTTCAGATCAAGCATTACGTGCTCAGTTGACTGAGTTTATTGATCATAAACTTGTGAAAAATAAGAGAAATTTTGAAGGAGTAGAATCACTTATTATACCATTGGATAATGCATTGCTTAAGCAATTTCTTGAACAGCAAAATGAAATGTTTTAAAGTAATTTGTACAAAGGAGTTTTATTTATTTTTTTAATATTTAATTATTAGTTTATTATTAATAATTTCTATAAATAGTGCTATTTAAAGTTTAAAGATATGAAAATTATGTCATAAGCTTTTGTATTTTTCTATTAAACTATTTATAATAAGATCAGTGGAAAAACATGCATTTTCTATTTTTTTATATCACAAATTTTTTTGTTAATGTTAATTTCATCAATACCTATTTTAAAATTATGCTAGGTATGTTTATTTAAAAAATTGGAAATCGTAAAATTAAAATTAAAAACAGTTTATTACGTTTGTATATTGAAGCGCATGTGCCATTTAGTTTATTAGAAATGATTGATCCCTCAAATTTTATTACACAGAAAAGTCAAGTTAGAAGTGATTTTTAGTAAATGTAAGATTGAAATATTCTCAACATAGACCACTAGGGATATAGATATATTTTGACCTACACACGCAAGGCGGCCGGCTAATAGTCGGCGGCGGCACCTTCCTCAAGGTCGTCAGAGTTCAGTGTATTTTGTTTTATGCTGGCCAGACTAGCGCGTAGCCTTGGCTTTTCTCGTTTTTATATAATCGCAGATGTTGACAAGTCTTGTCATTTTTATGTTGAACGACAATGGAAACAATTCAATAAGTTTTTGCTTCAATTCGGCGAAATACGAAGTGCTAAGTGTTAAGCTAACCTAGCTTTTCTGTGTTTGACTTGGATTAAAGAATTTGGCCACATCAACCGCCGTATAGCTGACACTTGATATAGTTATGGTTTGTTCAGTTGTAGTTATTGTCAGTTAGACTTTTATAATTGCTATTATTAGTCGTTTTTCAGCAGTATGCATGATAAGTGAAATCCATTGTTCATTACTATTAGTAAGACCTGCTTGATATATTGTGCCATCATCTTTAAAGTAACTAATAAAAAAACGTATTATTTTCAACAGAAAATATAGTTTGAAATTATATATGCGCCTTTTGGGTAATCTAATCTATAAAGTATCACAAAAAAGGCTAGATAAAGCAAGTGTGCAGATAGGCAAGAAATTTATATAAGTCACATTTATACGTATTTATCATTTGTTTATGTAATTTTTCGATGCACGTGTTACTTATATTACTGAGAAATTGATTAAATTACAAATGACTTTTCTAGCATCGTAGAGTTCGTTTTAAGAGGTAAATTGACATTTTTAATGACAAGTTGCGACAAGTACAGAAAAAGTTGAGTTTTGAAAGGACAGAAGAAAATAAAAATGATCAAGCGCGCTAATGAATTGTGTATGACCGTTCAAAAGTATTTTCAAGATTCGATAAATCACGAGAATCTTAATTGTGCATTTTGTATTTATTTACAGTGGAAGTTCGGACGTGCACGCGGAAGAAAATCATGCACGACGTCGTAGTCTTTTTGGTAAGTGAACTTGGTAATGTATTACTGCTTGATTAACGTAATGAAATTTGTTGCCGTCATGCATGTAATTGTAGAGCGCGGAAAAAATTCGATAAAAAGTATCCAAGCGTGGTCAAGCATCAGCGACCGCTAACAGCTGTCGAATCATAGTAGCGTGACAGCAGCTTTGCGGTTTAATTTGTCGGAAGAGTACGAAATGTGATAACTGGACGTACTTTTTAGCAAGCCGAAAATGTTATAGCTATTCTGCTTTCGAAACGAGACGATGATCGTGCATTGGCCGCTAAAACTTGAATTGATCCGATTCAAGTAAAGTATAACGGAAGATGTTGATTTTTTGAAAAAGTTGTATATACTATAGCTACAAATGACTTTGAGATTGTTTGTCCACATACGCATTTTTCCCGAAGAAAAGTAAAAGACTGAAAAGAGATATTGGTGTGGTCAAACTATGCAGTGTATTTTTGAGCCGAGAGTATAAGATCGTTGTATCTGGCTTTTCCATTCTATTGCTAAATAACGAATAAGCGTTTGATACTTTTATTTTCGGAGTAGGCACTTGCATAACCAAGTCTGTCGTCGTAGCCGTTAGATGGCGTTCTAGTTGGTCATTTCCTCAAGTCCGAACAATTAGTTATGTTGATATTCATACGTACGAGCTTCAGTTGGCTTACTTTAAAGCGGAAACGTTGAATTGATCGCGAGAACGAACAAAGACAAGATTGGAGCATTGGAAGGCGCAGCAGAGCCGAACGGATCTAGTCAATGTCAAGTTTGAGAGCTAGTTACGAGTAGAGCGACCGCGCTCGGATCCTTGTGTTACTTTTGAATAGTGGATCGCGGCGCAGCTGCATGTGGTCGGCTCGACGGTGTGCGTGCGTTCTTGTAATACATTTCGAAGGAACCGAGAGCGATCAGCGCAGCGGTAATTGCGTAACGGAAGCTGAAGCCGCGGACTGAACGAGTGGACGTCGAGGACTCGACGAGCGTCGTTCGGGTAGAGTTCAGGGGCCGGCGAAAGTAGGAAGGCTGCCGGTGTACGAATTCGCTCGGCCCGCGGGCGTTACACGCCAGTTGAAAAGCAGCGAAAGGAAGCCCAAACGAAAACTGGACGGCCATTAGAACCGGCACAGGCGTTAGTAGGACTGCTCGTCGCGACGGCGGCGGCCGGCCCGTAGAAAGCCGCGTGGAGCTTTCGAGCGCGCGCTGCCGTGCCGTCTTCGGTGAAATTGGCAGTGGGCACGCGGCACTTTGGCGCGAGTTAAGGGTCAGGCTGCGAGCCGCGTCCTTGGCGCCCGATCGCGCTGCGCTCCGCCGTGCGGTGCAACGTCGGTGTTTTTTCCGCCGCCGGCTCGCTGCTGCCGTGTCGCAGCGCGCTAGCGAGTATTCATCATCGCCGCCAATTGGGGTCATTACTGAACTGTCAGGGCCGCCGGTGGCGCGCGCCAGCACTCGCGCAGAGCAGCGCGGCTCCGCACAGAGCCGCCCGGCGGACGCTGATTTCCGCGTTTGCCCAAATGGAGGTCGCCGCGCCGTTATGCGCCCGCGCTGCTCGGCTCCAATTCATCAGCCGCGCAGATCCGAGCAGCGCGGCCGACGCGCGTCACCGAGTCCGCTCCAGATTGGCGGCGAAGAAAAGCTCTCCGCTTCCGGACTACTTTCGCCCCTCCCCCACCCGCCCGCGGCGCGAAGCTCCGCCGATTAGCCGCTGTCTCTCGCCTCTCGCACACGTAGAAAGTGAAAGACGGAGCGATCCGCAACGGCTGCAGTTGCGCGCAGCGCGCTCGCGCCCATATTGGAGGCGCGAGAGACTATGCATGTCCTCGATAATAACGCAGTTACGAAAGTCGCGCTGGCTAGCTGCGATAGTGAAAGTGGCGCTGCCGCCGTGGTCGGGTGTCGCAAGCGCCGCTCCGCTAGTGGCGAGTCGACGCGGGCGATCCCCCGGGCGGGTGGCGAGCCCACGCCGGCGAGACAGCGTTGGCGACGCGCGGCCGCGACTCGCCGCCCAACGAGGAGAACAACAATCGCTAACGGGGCCGAGCGCAATTACACGTCAATTGCGCTTACGCCGCGCGCCTCGTCGAGGATTACGCGAGCAGAGAGGAGGTCGCTCGGCGCGAGGTGACTTACCGATATTCGTGTCAGCCGCGGCTTCGCCCCCACCTCCACGCGGCGGCCCGCCCGCACTTGCGACGGCCAGGAGGCGAGGAGCGGTCGCCTCGGCGTCGCGTCCGCCCCGGCCTCGCCGCGGAAGTCCGCCCGCGCCAGCCGACCTTCACCTTGGGCGACGATCGCCGCGTCGATCGATGGCCGGGCGGTCCTCCGTCCCGAGCGCCGAGGGTGCCGTCGCAGTCGCGCCCGCGAGCGCCGAGGGAGCGAAGCGGCCTCGGCTCCGATCGCCGGCGCCGCCGGGCTCACGCCGCCCCGGCCTCGCGCCCGTCCCGCGGCGCAGCCGCACTCCCCGGCCCCGGCGCCCGGCCGCGCGGGCTGTCCCACTTCGGCGCTGTCCTTCCGCTGCGCCGCGCGCCCGCCGAGCCCGAGCGAGGAGACGACAGCTGCGCACGCACGCGCGCCGCTCCGGGGAGCGGCGGCGGGGCGCGGGCGGCCGCGGGGCGGTGAGAGCAGTGGGCGTAGGTGGGGCTGGGCCGTGGGCGAGGGCTGGCGCCGCTGGGCGGGCTCGGCCCTGCGGCCGCGGCTTCGCGACGCCCCGGCCGGCGGCGCTCCGCCAGCGGGCGGCCGCGGTCCGTCGCGCGCGAGCGTTCACCCCGCTCGATGCTCCGCCGGCCAGCCGATCGGCCGACGCGCCTTCCCTCGCCTCGCCTCGCCTCGCGGGTAGACTCGATCGTGGATCGGGACGCGGCGGCGGATCTCTCGGCGCTGCGGCTTATCTGCCTAACCTACTCCACTGAAACAGTTTGCGCCTCGCTCAGATCGAAACGCGCGCGGCACCAATTAACGTCGCGTCGATTTTGCCGAGCGGTCATTGTTGTCGACGGCCCTGACCCAGGGCCGTGCGCGCGCGCGCGCGCGAGCCACGGTGGATTTGGAGCGATTGATAGGGCGCGGCGGATAGTCGCGGGAGGAGGGGGCGTCCGAAATAAACGGGCTTATCCGGCGACGCCGCCAGCGCCGCTGGCCTGCTTTCGACGCTCGAGAGCGCCGGACACTCGGCTCTCAGCAGACGAGCCACGCGGCAGAGCGGCCGGCGATCTGCTCGCTTGCCCGCCGCTCGCTCGCGCTCCCGATAGAACGAGGCGACGGGTCAGCAGCGCCGTCGCCGCCGCCATTTACCTACTTGCTCCCCCGACCCACGTACTCGTGCTCTGCTCTGCTCCCGGCCGGCCGGGAGGCCGCGAGCCCGAGGCAGCCACGAGTAACCTGCTAGAAAGTCGAGTTTCTCTCGCTACTTTGCATAATCCGCGCCAGCGCCGGCCTGGTCGTGGGCGTGCAGCGCCTATCCCCCACGTTGCCGCCGCCGCCGCCGCAGGAGAGCGGTGCCCGCGTTACACGGCTGCGAGACCTCATCTCGGAAACTAGTTCAATTAGAGAAATCCGCGCAAAAGTAGATATCGCTGTGGCAGCGACGCGAGAGCTATGAGGGTTTCGGGGGCAGGCGACACGCGATCCTCCTGACCCCGCTCGTCTCCTGCTGCCTGCCCTCCTCCCGCTCGCTCGCGCCGCTGCGAGCGAGGCAGCGGCTCTGCCCGAAAAGTCCGAGCAGGCGAGCGAGAAAC